ATTTGTGAGCTGTGAGTCCATTCAGAAATTGGAACATACATTAAGATAAGGTAAGATAAGATCACTTTATTAGCCATATACAATTTCTTGCATTAGGAATTAATCTTTTCGCATACCCCAGCTTGCTTTCCATGAGACACAGACACACAGACAGGGAGAGAAGCTTGGGGTTAGAGCACAGGGTCAGCCATTGTACAGCGCCCCTGGAGCAGTTGGGGTTAAAGGCCTTGCTCAGGTGCCCAAGGGAGTAGGATTCCTCTGCCAGCCAAGGGATTTGAGCCGGCAACCTTCCAGCCTCAGGTGCAGATCCTTAGCCACAGTGCCACCACTTCGCCCACAAAAAGAGAGCAACTCCCCGACAGAGAATCCAACCCTGGTCTCCCACATGACAAGTGGGGATACTCAGCACTATACTAACAAGGAAGACAGAGTCTACCAGGAGTCGGGTTTGAACCCACGTGGACATTTGTCTATTGGATCTTAAGTCCATTATAATAGAGGTCCCTCTAAGGGACCTTTCAAGTTCAAAGCCAATTTCCTAGGATGACATGAGGATGAAGCAAGAAGCCCAGTGCTGCCAGTTCTGGAAAGAGAAGATGAAATGCTTTTGTATTCCACAGAGTTGTGTCAGCGAGTGGGTGATAAATGAGGACAATGCTGCAGTGCATCAGGAGAGGATTTATGACTGGAATTTTTTTTCTGAGGACTTTCTGCATCAAAGCTTTAATCGCACCATTTTTAATCTTTTTTGGGGGATGTTTTTAAATTATTTTTCTGTGTCTGAAATGACATTTAATTGGATATATGAAAAGACAGACTAGTGTCCTGTGAAGAGTTTAGTCTCTTCACAGCTCTCTGAGAATAAAGCAGTTACTCAAAACAGATGAATGTATTATTTTATTAGTGTGCAGCATTAGTATCCCAACTTCCTGGCCAAAGGTGAGTTTTATTGTTGTTGAGTTCATGCTGTTAGTGGACCAGTAGGTGTCGTGCTTCCTTTGTGTCAGTATGCCCAGTAAGTTTCACAGTAGGATATACTGTCCTTCAGTTGAGAAACATGTTCCTGATCACTTGGTCATTAAAAATCCCATGGCACTATTTATAAGATCAGCGGTGTTAATCTCGGTGTCCTGATTAAATTCCACTCCAGACTTGGACAGGGTGGCTTCCCTTACATTCCCCCTTGATTCACTTGCTGAAGCAATTTTTCACTCACTGTTGTGTAGTGAGGCTGCTGGTACAGAATGGCGGCCTTGAGTAATGGATAAAGCAGGCCTATATATATAATGCTCTGGGATGCTATATAAATGCAATTATCTTTATTGACATTGTTCCACTTACTTAAGACAGCAACAAATCATATTCTCAATAAATATATTATTTGAAGCAGGAGATGAAACACTGCCTGGAGCTCATTATCAGGAAAAAAACACAATTCCTGAAATTCAGAGGTGATAATTAAGAGCCAGAAATGTTGGGAGGATTCAGAATGGACTTGCTTTTTTGTGACGCTGAACATTGTGCCAAGAATACAGCTGGTAACTAGCAATGTTAGAGTCTCGGAGGATTTCAGATCTGGCTGCATTGACTTTGAAAGTGATAGAATAGGTTTCTAATTAAGGCTTTGTGCATAATTATACAGCACTGAAGCAGCTTGTGAGTATGGATCACTGGCTTCCAAACTCTCCAAACCAGCCTCGCCTGATTGCACGCGCTTGGTGATGTATCAGAGAGAAATTCAGACGCCACATGCCAGCAAAGTGTACAGAAGATGCCATTTTCCCCTTTGTGAAAATTAACCAAAATGTTCGTATAGAATAATATAACACTTTTCCATTGCACTTAGCATGTCTTTGTTTTGTCATATATAACTGTAAAAAAAGAAAAGTTGCTTCATCCAATTCAAGGTCGTGGGGGAGCCGGAACCTACAGTATCCCAGCAGGCAACGGGCACAAGGCAGGATCCACCCTAGACTGGACCCCAGTCCACTGCCGGACAGTCAGATACACACACTCAAAACAGGGCCAATTTTCCCGGAAATCAATTATGTATTATGTAATCAAACCAGTATATCTTTGTACTGTGGGAGAAAATCAGAAAATCCAGAGGAAACTCATGTGAACACAGGGAGAACATACAGAGATAATATCCAGGGTCCAGAATTGAGCTGTGAGGCAGCAATGCTAACAACTGCACCACTGTGCCACCTAACACTGTTTTATTTTTTTCATTTTGTTAAATTCAGCAAATAGTAATTGTGCATTAAAGTGTGCAGAAATATGTCATGGTTAGTTTTGTAACCTGCAGAGGTTATGTTCACTTATTTTCACCTAGAGATTCAGTGAAACATGCAATTTGACCAGGGTTGCTAAAAACCTTTGTATACAAAAGTATATGTATATTATAATCTATCATGCTTTACCATGCTTTACCATGCTTTTACCATGATTGCATTGTGCTTTAATATTTCACTCTGCATTTGCAGTTTCAAAACTACAGTAAAACTTCAGAAGGATCTATACAGTACTCTCACTGCACTTCTCAACACATTCTTGAGCTTGTATTAAAGTTCACTCTCCCTCAGATTAAGTGGTGATAAAATATTCATATAAGAACATTTCTGTTGGCCCTAACATCTTAAAAACAACCAGAAGTTATTGTAATAAAGTGATGGAGGGTTATATAGAGCTTGCTTACAGCTCAAAAAAGTAAGAGTCTTTTTGAAGAGCCACAGGTGCAATAGGAGATGAGAGATAAGTCAATAAAACCTGGTATTTGAGAAGGATGGAGGGAGGCTTGAGGGAAGCTTAACAGAAACCCTTCATAACCCCTCTGCCAAACAGGAAGGGAGATGGACAGCCTGCTAAGGCAAAGATCAAATTATAGATAGGTCCTCTCCAACATCCAGCATCCTGGATACCCCTCTGCATCCTGTACTTTTTAATAAGACTTTAGACCAATGTTGTTTGAAACACAGAATGTTTCTAGTTAATAACAGTCTTCTATTAGTTATTTTAGGCTTGTGTTTTAATGTTCAGACAGATTTCCTGTGTGTGTAAGCACACCTTGCAACACTGTTGTCTTACATTCACAAACAACAAAGACCATGATGTGATTGACTGGGTTGAAACATAGCGAGGGCAGATCTGAATCTGCAACAAACAGCACATGTTTAAATAACAAACGTGTCTGGTTTACATAGAGCTCTCCCACACTCCAGAGCTAGAGAACCTCCTATAGCAGATTAGACAGAAGGATACTGAAAAGCAAACATTTTCTGCAAGGCAGGACGGAGAGCACATCGGACTCCATCAGTTACTTCTCTTCTCACACCTCCCAGGGCCAGCTCTATACCTGCTGTGTGCCAGACTAAGGACACCCTGCCCAAATGTAAGATCACCCAGTCCTTGTTGTACTTAGCCTATTATAAACCACCACCTGTGCTTTCCCTGTTATTGTAGGCTGGCGACATTTTTTTTACTGCATGGCCCAGATAGCTTTTTTACTTGTTCAACCAGATATATTACATTATGTATTGGTTCTGCATACATCAGCATTTTCAGTACTCTCTCTTGTATAAACTTTGGTGCACCTTGCTTCTGACAGATTTTGTTGACCTCATGATTCCTTCTCCTAATCTGTGAAAACAAATCTGTGCCACTGTCTCAGCTGGGAATCATTAAAATTTGACTTTCATCCTTGGACTAATTAAATACGAAATGAACCCTTCCATTTCTTTCAATGGATGTAAACACAGACACAGTATATTTAGTGATAAGACTAAACACCCTTTGCCAAACAGACCATATCAGAAATGTATTCTGTAAAGTTACAGTTGTAGGAATCATAGCGTTTCCTGTGGGTTATAACAGCACTGTTAACTGATTGTGATTCACCTTTCTAATGTTCATTTACAAATAGTATCTTAGGCACAAATAAGGAAATCAGATATCTTTACAGAAGATCACAATTTAAAGAAATGCTTCTCAAACAATGATAGAATAACTATTATACTGACTGATGTTCAAGATGTTCACACGCTGGTGATTGCCTTGACTCTGAAGAGCTTGCGTTTTCAAGCCAATGCAATCACACACCAAATGTTCAGTGAAGCACAGATATGTGGTATTTGGTATGGCAGGATAAAATCATATTTTGCTCAGAACTGCTTAATTACTAGTCAGAAATGTAAACCCAGCCTCCCAAGTGGCTCAACCTGTACAGGTGCTTGCCCAAGTGCAGGATGAGATCTGAGATCAATCATCCAGGCATTGGTCTGAGCCTGGCTTATGTCACTAGCCGTCTGTGACCAGGATTCCCCACAGTGGGGTGCACAGCTGGCTGAGCACTGCTGAGGGAAGGAGGGGAACAGTTGGCCCAGGCAATGACCCCTGTGGCTTCCTGGATGCTTGCAGCACTGCTGATGAGGGACGTGCCTCTCCTCCACTCAGCACCGAGCCTCTGGGTCAGGCCTGCGGTGCCTGTGATGTGGCTGACAGGTGGCTGGGTGGGTCAGAGAAGAAGGCCCATGCTTTCTCTTTTTCCCTTGTGCGGTCAAGAGAACTATGGTTTTGAGAAGAGACGTAAAAACACACAACTGTCTATTTCACATCCAATGGGTGAAACAAGAATAACTGGCAACTCCAAATTTATGGAAAAAAGATATGTGAATGTATTGTCAATGTAAAATAATAATTTTTAAAGCACATACTGTATAAAGACTTTTTTGGGAATATCATTATGTCATGAAGCTATCATGAAGAAAAATCATATGTAATGTAGTGCAGTGTAATGCTGTAAATGCTGTAAAGTAAACTTTGTTACTGACTTTCTAAAGCTCATGTTCAAAATAAACGAGGCAGTGACATACAATGTTTTTCTTTTTCACTATAATCAGTGTTTTGTCCAGGACTTTTTGTAGAGATGAAAAGGTGGAGCAAGCTTTGTATTTAATCTAAAATAACAGAGTTTTTCTTTCTGAGTCATTATTCCAACTTACCTCTTTGGTTTTGTCCATAGCCTTCAGAATTGCAATATTCAGCTTCTCCAGGGCAGAAAGCACATTTACATACTCCCCAAGGTGCTGAGAGAAGTAGTCTGGGAAGCAAGAGAAAAAACATCACTGTTTTCTTTGCAAAATCGTGTCTTATGAGAAAGAAGGACATCTGTTCAAGATCATCAGCCAGTCTGGAAAGACAGTGGATCTTCCATAAATGTTACATTAATTTAAGAAACTTTTATTGCAGCTATTGCTAGTTTTTATAATATCCATAAGAAGAGTAGGAGTATTATTCTGATTATGTTAGTTGACACAACTACCAATGAGGTTTTGAGCCACACTGTATTATATATGCCTGTGTCTAAAACGGAATCAATTTTTCTCATCTTATACTGTATTTGATGCATTTTGTCTGACTGTGACTAACTAGAAAACAGCAGAGTCAGCTCAAGACAACAACAGATACAGTCCTGCAGGATTCAAACTCTTCTCTCTTGGATAATCTGCCTGCCAAGGCACAAGTGCTGTGGGGCTCACAGACAAGGCCACTATGTAAAGAACTAGTGGGAAATCATGTTTCTGCTGGTTTGTTTTGCCTTTCAAACAAGAGAAACTGCAACATCTCCTGACATCAGCCATGACTCTTGATGGCCTCAGATGTCTGAATTTATTCACATATTTCCTGATAAGCAGAGTGAATAAAACTGTACAGTATATTTGTCTTATTTGGTTCAGCTTTTATACAAGTTTAAAGTAGTTTGCCATGGTTAAGGTAGAGAAAAGCATGATAAAGAACAGTGAAATAATGGTAAAAGCATGGTAAATACATCAATTGTAATGAACTGTGAAAATACTATGCCCATCTGTCATTGTTACCTTGTGTGTCATGAAAAATTTACAAAGATACACTTTTAGCAGGCAGTCTGAAACCTGATTTAATTGATTTAAGAGTTACATGTCAGTCATTCAGTTTGTTAATTTAATCCACAAAGCTTTATTTACATTTTAAACAAGCTTTGTAAATGTTAGTTTAGTGTTTTTAGAAATTAGAACAAAATGATTTCAGGTCCAAATTCAACATTTGTTCTGTGGACGATTCAGGTGTAGTGGAATGTACAGTAGAGATCGATTATGTCTCAGTATGTTGTTGTTCCAGATACACAATTGTTCATTAAATTATATTAACATATATTTTATATGTAAACTTATAGGATTATATTTTCATACTTCCAACTACCAATTATGTTTTTGGCACTGAGGTAGTACAACAGCAAATCATTACTAAATACTCTAGGGGTTAATTCACAGAGGGATTTTCAAAGTTTTCTGGCCCTGAAGCTGAATTTGCTTTAAAGAAAGTTATTATATAAATATGATTATCCTAATCAAACGGGAAACAAAACAGGTGTGAAAAACAGCATAATTAAAACATTGTTTCACATTGTTTGGGGATTTTAAATGAAATTTGAAAGTCAATGTGTATTGTTTAAAAGAAAGTACAAATGAAAGTATAGTAGATGTAGGATCAAAATCTTTTTTTATTATTGTGGTTGCAAGAATAATTCGCTGAGAGAAATCAATAGAACTGGCAAATCTTGATAAGTGCTGACAATTTAATGTCATTATAGATCATAGGCTTTAGTATTGTATATGTTTTTGAATACAGTACATAAAAGTATTCATGTCAGTTGACACGATATGATTTGATACAAATTTTATACGAATAGTTACATGCTCCCAGCATAGTAAGTTTACAAGTGCCAGTGCATCTTCCTGTGTTCAGTCATCTACTTAACACAGCATATCATAAATTCCTAAATGTAGCTCCATCACTCAGTATCTTTCCTGAGAAATATCTTGGAGTGCAGCATTAATAAAAAAAAGAGAATTTAATTACCAAGCAAGCATTATTGTAAAAGCACTAGAACTGTGATGGATTTCAAAAACAGGAACAATACACAGTAATGCATGTTCTCTCATTTCAGAACCTCAATTGTCTCATTCTAATACCAATTTTGCTTTAAAGCACATATTCACACATTTCTTCATTTACAAAAGAAGACAAGCTGGTTTATGTTTTCAAATTTCTATGTTTTTTCTCCGAATTAAACATTTAATTATTTACGCACATGATCCGTTTCCTGCATTCTTTTCATTGTGATCTCATGCTTGAAGAATATTTTTTTAAATGTTGATTTTTTGTTTGTTTTTAATAGGAATCTGTCACATATCTGGTTTTCATTCCACCAGAGCTTCTAATTAGTGTTGAACTAATCACTTTATTAAGTGAACTGGGCTCCCAAAATCTGTGGCTCTTCCAGATTTTGCTCCAGACTCTATGAAACTTAATTGAACAATTTTCTTAAGCTAATCAGTAATTTTACTTTTAAATTTAAATATCAGAATATTTCTAATTAACTAAAAAATCTGCAACTCTTTAGGCCCCTAAATTAAAGAAAAGTACTAATTAAACCAATTATTGCTTCAAGTCCTTCAACTAAGAAGCTGAGGGTTCAACTCAGACACCTAAATCCTGCAGGCAGGTGTTGCCAGCACCTGCATAAAGGTGCTGGTGATTTAAACTTGCTGAATTGTGGTCCTTCAGGACTTTTGTTCCAAAGTTATTGACCGCTAGAAATCCTCAGACTGATGGAAACTAGTTAACTCCTCATGTCTGGTGCCATAATGGGCCCAGACACAGCTGATGTGTTGGTGGAACGGGAACAAGATTAAATTAAAAGAGGTCTATAGCCTGCATGCCTGGGTGACAGGGTGCACTTCAAATTTTAAATTTTGTTTACTTCTTTCCTGAATCAAAAGGCTTATTTTCACAGCCGAACAAGCTGCCGGGACCCAGATAAGCAAACAGCTTTCTTCTGTGCTCGTGCTGGAATGTTTCTAATTGCAAGTGTATAGTGGTGCACAGTGTATAAATTAACTTCTATATTTGACTGTGATGTGCAGACCTGGAGTTCAGATTTATCTCTGCTTTTACCTATCTTGGTTTTCACAGTTCAGGAGTTATTTCCTTTGCTGTTCTCCATCATTTTGATGGAACACAGCCACTGCAAGTCTGACTGTTTTCAGTCCCACTCGGGAGTCTCTGTACCTCACTTGGCTCTAAGAGGCAGCATTCAGAAATGGCTACTGATTCTCTAGAATTTTTGTACTAGAGAGCATAGGGTGAAAAGTAATATTCCTAACAGAAAAACATAACTTATAAATGACTTAAAGTCTTAAGGGGCAAAATGAGACTGAAGTACTTTGCAGTTGGAGAAAGGTCAGCTATAAACCCACTGTGAAACGTGTGAGCTACATTTGTAACTGGGCTCATGCACTTCAGGGCTCTGCCATGGCAGAGGAACAGTCTTTGGCATACTGCAATTGCCCACTCTCTAGGGTGTGGTGCTGTGGGTGATACGATCCCATGAGCGACTGGGATCAAATCCTGGCAGGGGCAGCAAGAGCTGTGCTTGTCAGACATTATTATACTACTGGAAAAGAGGTACACACAAATAGGAATATATTAGTTTTTAATCTCATTGAGCTAGCGAGATCATAATTTATTTTATGATTTTGTATATGAACTCCCAATGTTGTGTTCTTAATTCATTTTATTCAATATGTCAATGGGTTTACCACCCATTACTGAACAGGTATTAGAACTGTCTGTAAGAAGGCAGCAGATGGAGGGAATAAAACGGTATCATTTTCAGAGTTCATTCTGTTAGGATGTATTCTTTAACATCATTACACTACAGTTCAGAATCTGAACAAAAAACTCAATTTCTGTCACTACATAAAAGTCATCTCTAGCTTTTAATGGGCACTTGTGAGTGTACATAAATGTATATACAGTATCTTTCAATCTAAGTATGTGATAGTTTGGTACTATGTATTTATGTGTAAATATGTAGTGGAATCACACATCTAAAGCAGCAAAGAACTAGAAAAGTACTTAAAATTGATACAGACTTACCACACAGCTTCTCTGTGTCTAGGTTGCTGAAATGCAATGAGAAAGGGAGAAGAGAAAAAAAAGGTTAATTTAATCCGAAGTGCTTCAGAGGTCGGGCATCTGTTCATCAAAGCACTGTGAAGGCTTTTTCTGCCTGAGATGAGGCCAGACTGTAATGGTTTAAAACTGTGGCACTGTAACTAGGCTTTGGTATGAGGGAATCCAGGTGCAATACTGCTCTGCTTAGCTACCTCTGATTACTGCCCTAGCTTTTTGTCTGAGAAAAAGAAAACTAAAAAGACTCAGGAGTCAAACAGAAAACTCTGGGGGATTGTTTTGTGCACTCTGATAACATTCAAATCTAGTTTCCCACACACATGTTGAGTACATGGTCCAGTAAATCATAGAAATTCAAAGATTTAATTTCTTAGTGGTTCACTGTCTTTATGCTACTCTGTTGATTTGTCTGCTTTGATAATGATTCCTTGAGGCCGTTAACTTCAACAGTGCGCAAATGAATTTTTCTGCCCAAGCTGCGTTGCTATGGTGAGGAAGGTATTGCAAAATTTTCCCCTTGAAATGGTGTCAATTTTTTATTGCTAGGGCAACGTTCCAAAGCCAGTTTCAGTGGAAGATATATTGCAATAGTATAAAAAATAAACAGTCTGAGGAAATTTGGTATCATTGAATATTTCTTCTGACATACTTTCTTGGTTTTAGATTTGGTGATTCTGCAGAACAAAAAGTGTTGCTTTACAATAAGAAGAAATGAAATCCAGTGCTGCACGTCTGACCGCAACACTGTGGAATATTACAATAATGGGCACTAAAACAACGAATACAGTCCAGTAGATCAAAAATATTTAATTAGCAAATTATACTGACAGGAGGTGAGTAGGTGACAGGAGATTGTTCATGTGATGAAATGATGAAATCCAGCTAAGTATTTTTAAACAATATATTACGTCCGTATAATAAGTAGTCACTCTATAGATTAAGAGTTATTCTTTCAAAAACATGATTTTTTTAGACTCAAAATACTTCAGATCTCAGTTTTGAAGGATTCATCTACTGCTGTAAGAATTGGTACTTTTTGTTGACTCTGAAGCATGATGAGATGCTTTTATTATACAGCACCTCATAGATCCTGTTCCTCCTGAATTCCATTGGACTGACTGTTGTGTCTTAATGTAGTAATTCAAACAGAGTAACAGTTTGGAACAGACTGCTTTTGTCACTCACTGAGCTGAATCTTTAGACATTATCATGCAAAAGGACTGTCAATCACTGTTACAGAAAAAGCACAACATCTGCAGTGCAGATCAGCTCAGTTCCTTCCTCCTTTTCTTTTTCCAAGTGAGATTTTTGACAAAATCCTATACCAGATTAGACATTTGAGCAGAAAACCGTGCTGCCTACTTAGGGAACCATGATACGGTTTAATTGGATCGGGACACAATACCCTGTGGAGGGAGTGACAGCTGATTTAGAAATCTATCCAGTGAAACACCCAGGCACACTGGTCTGTTGGTTGTCAAAGATGTCCTGTGAAAGACATATCAGCTCGGCTCAGTCTGACAGCTCCCTTCCCTAAATAAACTCCCAGTTCTCTGATGGCAGCTCCTTTCTGTCACTGTGAGCATGTAGGGAGGCTCTTCTCCTCTCGGCTTTCTTCGTTTTCAAACTCCTGATTCCAACTTACATCTGGAGTCTTGCAAAGTCTTTCTAGCCCAATGGGGAATGAGTCTCATTGGACTGTTTCTCAGTTTTGTTCACGCAGGCATGAACATTATCTTGCATTACAAAAGCTGTCAGTTTTTAGCAAGTTTTGCTTTTTTTTTCCAAGCCAGGAACAATTTTCACATTGTTTTAATTGGTCACATAATTGATTCACATTTTAATTTCTCATTGTTTTGCACAAAGTTCTTCTTTAAAGAGACTGCTCTCACCTTTCAAGCAGCTATGAATGTACATAGCTAAGAGACACATCGACTCACTTCACTACTTAATGACCAAGATGGCTTGTTAAAAACTAGATCAGATTTAGAGTGCTGATCGCAGATAACGATGAAATTAATACTCATCTTTAATAAACCAATAGGTGTAGCAAACAAAGCCTTAGATTTTTTAAAAAAGACTTAGATTTTGTTCTTCTATTTATTCAGATTTTTGCTTCCATGAAACTCAAGTCAACTGCATCCAATAAACATTTTCATTTTTGATTATGAACAAAGAACTGGATTCTGGAAGTAATTACATTTTTGACAGAAAAGTGAGCAAAAGATATTTCATACAGATTTCTTCCTATAAAATAAATCTCCCTTTACTACAAAACATTGAAATGTATATAAACATATAATAGTCTGTTTCAAAACTCCTGTATGAAGTCTCAGTGTCAAAGCACCAAGTACGCAACAATGTATTTTGGAGCACCTGAAATCGATCTGACATGGTCTGAGTCTTGCCCAGGCAACCATCAGATGTGCTTATGACAAATTGTACTTCACTGTCTCAATACTTATGCAGTGAAATGCATTTCTGTTTTTAATTCTGATGAGAGGGTTTGCATCTTGCAATATAGCCCTAGTGGATGGATGTTATGCATTCCAGCTTGTAGGGGCAGCAACATCCTATTGCTGTTTCTGTAACATTTAGTTTTTTTATGGGACAGGGTTGTTAGCCTTGTGCCCTACCTCCAGCATGGAGGACCTGGTGCCCGACATGGGACACAAGCCTACAACCCTGAGATTATGAGTCTCATGCTCTACCAACAAAGGTAGGTGGGGCCTCTATAGCCCTTGTAACTACCCTGAAGGTCTAGTCTTCCATGTTCAGTGAATTTAGATACTTTCACCGCTACATTCAGGAAATTGCCTGCAAACAGTTTGGCTCTTATTTTGAGGCTTATAATCACAGCTATATTGTGTTTTCTGTCATCAGATGTGGTTGTCGTCCTTGGATAATCTGGTCTTTGCTGATTGCTTATTCCTCAAGAAGTGTCTTTCATTTTCAAGACATTCTATATTGTTGATTTTGAAATACTCATCTCAAAAAAGTAAAACTCCAAAGGCTGGAGCCAAGGCTATGTATTCAAAATTAATATGACATGGAACAACTGAGAAATTAGAAACAACGGCTAGGCATTTGTCCCACAAAACACAAATTTGATATTGTCCTAATATGGTTAGTCATATAAGGAAAATAATACCCAGAAGCAAGAAACAATAGATGAAATCCTATACTTTTTGCCTCATACTGGTCTTTAGATCTGAAATATGGATTTAATAATTACACAGAAAAAAATATTTCACTATCCTTCCTATACTCACGCTTTAAACTGTACATCTTATGGCCAGTATACAGTAATTTCAAATCCCTATGGAAACATTGATTAGTCTTGTGACATCGTCTTCCAAAGCTGTGTGAGAGGTGGCAGGAAGATAAAGTCAAAGTAAAAGTGTTCTCATTTGTATAATTGTTTTTCAAAATGTCAAAGGGAAAACTTTGTGTGAGTTCAGAACTTCACACAAAATAAAAATGTAAGCATGATTAGCAATGAAATAGTCACCTAGAAAGATCTTCATGGAAGGTATGATTATGTACACATACATACTGTTGCAAAGGGAGGGTTACGAAAATAGTGAATAGCAGAAATTGTCAAGTGGTTTAGTCAACAACTAAAATAATCATAACCCCTAACATGTAAGGATTTCTCCAAGAATATACCCGACTGGTTGGTATAATTGAGACACGTGAATTCTTTATTCACTGGCACAGCTTTGGTGAAAAGAGAAATACTCTAATTCAGACACACTTGGTTAAACAAATATTTATCGACAATTACAATACAAACGTTTCCCTGTGTACATTACAAGTTTACGCACAAGGTGTTTCAGAGACCAATGTCTAGACCACCAGGGAAAGACTTTAGACTTCTACCAAGTATATGAGTCTTAAATAATGCCTGCAAGAGGCCAAAAGAAGAGATAAGATGCCTTCTAAACTAATTAAATTTCTCTAACCCAGATGCCACAAATAAATGGCACCCTATCTCCTTATTCTAAAATGTACCCACTAAGCAGGAGAGGCAGTTTTAATTTTTCACTCAGAAAAAAAGTCCAAGTTCCCAAAAAGCTACAGAATAGTAAGCTCTCTTAGTAAGGATCAAATGCTTAGCTTCAATCAGATGGTCTCGAACAAGGACCTCTTGCCGGGCACACATTTCAAGTTCCTGTCTCCTCAATCTCTCATTATCTGTTTTTCCCTCCTTCCTAATTTTCTTTATATTGATCTGACTTTATATGGTGTCTTTATGGATTGTTGATTGACACTTAATAATTTACTCAGAACTTAATTAACTAAGGTAAACCTTATGATTGCTTTGATCACTGAATCTAGACCCCCATGTCATCTCAGCAAATATCCCCTCTACTTTGAAGCTGGAAATGTTTATACCGCCAGGTGTTACACATTTTATCTAGACTCTTAGAGGCACTTCTTAGTCATCTATACTTATAACAAGGCACATACTTAAACACATGTACGTGAAATGCATTGCTGATGTAATGATTAATTAAATGAATACTCTTTAAATCTATGCAGGATACAGACTATAATCCCTGCACTGTAGCTGTTGGTATCCATATCCCCCAGCAATGTACTATACACAAAGGGTTATGGGTGTATGGAACAAGCTGTCTTTCAAGAACAATCTTTCAAGACACAGCTGGATGAGATCCTGGGATCAATTTTCTACTATCTACCAAATGGGCTAGATGGGGCAAATGGTGTTTCTCAATTGTAACATTTCTTATGTTCTTAAGAAAAGTATTACCCAACATGTCATCGGTTCCCTTTGTACTACAGCAGCTTGCATACAGTGAATTAAGAATTTACCTTTGCATTATGAGGAAATGCTTGATGTTTATTTCATTTGGTTAACTCCAGAATACAGATTTGCAATCAAAGAACTGTAATTGTGACAGGGGCAACTAAATGGCAAAACACGCAACCAGATTACAACAGCATACAATATTGTACAAGCTGAAATAAAAAATACTATACCATAATCTGTTATGGTTTGAAGGAGGGACAATGAACAAGATATTATAGAACCCTGTAGTACAGTTTAATAAGATTCATTTACATTTTGAATATACGTGACCCAATGTATTTCAGGAATTTCACAAAAACTGACTCTGATAATTCAGAAAAAAATTATCTAAAATTTGTGTCTAAATTCAATACTCACTCACTCATACTGTAAGTTGGTTTATAATATATGATTGAGAATTAGCAAGACAGGATGGGAAAAAAACTTGGGACATACCAACCTTCAATCTTTTTTTTTGAAAATCAGATTTGCATTTGGATGAAATGACATTACAGCTTCACATTTAAATGACTTCTGTATTCATTTCTTCTTTCTCAAGCAACAAGGGACTACATCCATCTACTCATTTTCATTAGACCCACATTATCTAGTACAGCATTCGCAGGTGAGCCAGAGCCTATCCAGGCAGCAACGAGCACAAGGCAGGATACAAAATGGATGGAATGCAAGTCCATCACAGGACACACACAGACACAGAAATGCACACGCTCACACCAGGGCCAGTCTTCCTAGAAACCAACTATCCTACCAGTACTTAGGACTGTGGAGGAAACTGGAGCATCAGGGAGAATCCCATATAAGCACAGGAAGAATATACTGTACAAACTCAACACATACAGTATAGCAACACTGGAATTGAACCCAGGGCCCCAGCCCTGCAAAGCAGCAATGCAAGCTCCTGCAACCACTGTGCCACCTAAGATGACATCATAGCATTGCAAATCTGCAGACCACCAAAACATTGAAGTATTACAGCCCTCAAAAATAAAGAAGTCTAGTCAGTACTAGGATCCACATAATGGAGTTTGTGGACCAGTACAGTATGTGGGCACTTCTCTCTATATCAGAGTTTCTTTACCAGAATAGTTGCAGTTTGTTGGCTTGAAGACATCATCCTAGACATGCAGTGTCCAGGTTAAACTCTGGGCTTAAAAAAAATCCCTCCTTAAATTAACTGCAGAAGCAGTTTGTTACTTCTCCACTTCATCTGCTTTGTTACACTGTGATCTGTTGCTCAACAATGCCTGCCATGCATGTCCCAGGTACAGCAGATGCTGCACTTCAGGTGCTGATGAAGTGTGTCTCTTCCCATGTATATAAAATGCTTTGGGATGAAAAGCAGTAATTATTTTTTTTCTTTTTATACCCTTCCAGTTCAGAACTGGCAATTGTTAATCAGCTCGTCGCACTGATGCTTCTCTCATGATTCTGGTTTATGAAATCTTAATTGTAATGCAGAAGGCAGTCTGTGTCACACACTACTGCTGATTGCTAAAAGGGCAGTGTGACCCAGGCCAAGGAAGCACTGGAGCTGTGCTGGTTTGTAACAGAAACTGAATTATTAAACCTTGAATTATAAAATTCTTTAAATAATTAAAGACAGAAGGGGCAAATGTTTTACCCACAACGTTATTAAAAATGTGGGGAGGAGGGGGTGCCAATTGAATGGTTTGCCTAGGGCTGCAGTAGCTGGCAGCCAGCCACCCCTGAAGCTAGTATGTCTATAAACAGACATAACATTGGAATATTTCAACTCAGTGTTATTGACAGTTTTCAAATGACAGGCGCACATACTTATGTCTACAACTTGTGATGCCGTGGCAGTACGGCGACTGGAGCACTCGGCAATCACTGGAGCAGGGATCAGCCGTGTGCCTTGCTCCAGCCTTGCTCTCATTCCGGATTGGAATTTCAAGATCACTGCACAAGCCATGCTACTGCAGTGTAAGTCCACAGGCTATAATACAAGCCCTTGAGCTGAAGACAAGCTGTTGTACCACCTCACTTGCTGCTGTACTGCAGCTCCAGTTGCTGACCTGCAGTCAGGCCACAGGGCTGAAGATAGAAGCCCTAGTTTTAAGGCACAGGTCACTAAAATAATGCCACAGACCACCATGCTACTGTATTAGGTGCCTGTGCCAGAATACTCAGTTTTGAGTATTAGTATTTAGTATTAGTATTTATTCAACTAGTTTTAGTTACATTAGTTTATGAAACTAGCACTGTACATAGTTTACTATAAATAATATATAATAAAGGTTCAATTTGACTTCAAACTTGTGCTGGGATGCATCTTTGGTCAGGGACCCGCCAAGAACCTGTGCAACTGCTGTGAGCTGCCCCATGTGGCATCACAAACTATATACACAGATGTTCAGAGAGTGAAATACTTTCATGATCAAAGCTGCCAGTTTAGACAATCTTTTTTCATTCAAAATGAAACATTCAGAATTCACATATATTGTCTGAAGAAAGGAAATGAGCTTATAGTATTCCTCTGCATTTACAGAAGAGAAGCTGATGACACATTACTGGAGAAAAACAGAGGTGCTTCATCATTCAGAGGGAAAAATTAGAATGGTAACCTGAAGGTGCTGGAGTTCTGACTGTGCAGAGAATCTTTTTAAAGTAATAATGCTTCCTGTCTGCAGTGCTTTCCTTCCACTGGTCCTTCATGATTTCTTTTTTGATAAAAGGACGTCAGCAGGCAGTGTGAGGTGTAGACCATATATTTTATTAATTTCACCTTTTCAGGACATATTATACTGTATAAGCACGCATTGGTAGTTTATCATTCATAAATCAGGAAAGATACAGTATGGCAATAATTTCTGCTTTTGATCTCTGACAAACTACTGCTACTGCTCAATTGGAAAATGTGTTCAGTCCTAAGAGACTCCAAGAGGATATTCATCTGATATTACTTCTTTTCATTATAAACATGCAAAATGGTCCATTTGTGCTGTTCATTTACTTAAAACAGAAGAAATATAAATCTTTGGTTGGCTGAGTTAGTCGGTAAAGCAAATGACTGACAACCTACCTTTAGTCTTTTCAAAAAATCATTATTTTGCTTGAAAACAGTTTGTGAAATTGATGAAAAAAGTGTTGAACAGAGCCTGATATATGGGATGCCCATGCACTTTCTAGAGGTTGCTGGTGTGACAAATTCCTGCCCCATTCTACACAGGAGACAAGTGTTTCATGGCATTTCATTAGGAAGTGAGGAGCCACAATTAACACCATTTATATTATATTAAATTATTAGTGCAATAGTTACCTAATATACATTTTATTCAAGAGGTCATTTCTATGTGGATAATAAAGTTGTCAATAACAAGTCTAAAGTGATTTAAAAGATGAAAGTGTCCAGTTCCCACATCTCCACAAGTTTTATGGCTTTATTTACTGTACTGTATATTATCCTTATTACTATGCACTGTATCTGTATCTATTTTACCAATACAATTTAGAATTGAAAAATTAGCAAGCTGGTGATGTTTTTTAATCAAATCAAGATGTCAGTGAAGTTTTGTATTTAGGCTTGTTCATATAAGGCAGAATTACATAACAGTTCAGGTGGGGTACGTAATTACATACTGTAACGTTTCATAAGGTCATTGAATCTGATGTTTTGTTTGTAACATCTTACACATTGAGATACGTAATGTCTACTAATGGGGTTTTAATTATTTGTGGAACATAAAATGTATTTTAAATTTGACATCTTACAATTTTAAGATAGTAATGAGATAATATTGTTTTAATAACATTTTCTCATCAGCGTTTGTATCCGACACGGTGAAAGTTAAATACTGATATGCAAACTGTATGACATGTAAACTATATTTAAATGTTGCTTTGTTAAATTTGCTGGGAACTGATAGAAGGGCTCCAGTGCTGTAATATCTCCAGTGCATATCTAACCACTGCTCCACCATGCCATCCAATATGCACTCATATTTTGTCCAATAAAATTATTCATGTTTGATAAACTGCTTGACTTATGATAGTGGCTATCTGCTGCTGGATTTTGAAAACAAGAGCATCAGAATGCAAAAACAATATCAGTCAGCCTCTCGTTCTGAAACTGTTTTCAGTCAGACCCAAAGACCTCTATAGGAAGAGGCATCCCAGGAGGAACCTACAGCAGTCAGCTCCTGGACACAGCAGGACTGCCAACACCTGTTATAAAGAGGTGACCAGGAGCTGCACGGACATGAAATGTGAGAATCCAGCAGACAAATGGAAAATGCCTCATTAGCAAAATAAACCTACAAGGGACTAAGGATGTTAATTCAGAAAACACTCCTAGCTGATTCTGACTCTTATGAGTATCGTTCACTAAAAGGTGCTGAATTTCATTCACAGTGGGAATGAGATCAACCTCCTTTTCCTGCACAAGGAGTAATTAACGTTTGTGAGAAAGCTCTCAGGGCCTCTTGTCTGGACAAAGCACCATTAGAAATCTTGTCTGTCAGGCCTTGCCTCTGTCTCAGTGCTGTTTTAATTAGTGCAACAGCAAGAACAGTGTTTTCAGCAGCATTCTCTGCCTTGCCACTGACTAATTGGATCTGACAGCACAGATACAATGGTGATTTTTGGGAGCAGAGTTGCAGCTTTACTAAAGGGAACAAACTTGTGTCAAATTAAATAAACTGATTTTCTGTACCTAGGTAGAATCCTTTACGTCACAGATAATTATATTAGGTTTATATTTATTCTCTTTATTTTACGAAATCTCTACCTTTTCTTCACTTATCTATATATTAATGACATAGTCCTATACCAATTGAAAGCATAAGGTTCATGAAACCATTTCAGTGTTATGCTATGATAGTGACATTGCTCGAAACAATGCCATTTCAGTTACATATTCTGAACAGTTTATTAAGGAGTGGAATGATGGTACATCATGAGCAAAACTTACTTGGTGTGGTGTCTGTCTATTGAGTAGAAAAGTTCCTGCAGCTCTTCGGTACTGAGAATACCGTCGGCAAAATAGGCCTTAAACTCCTCAAAAGACAGCTTCCCATCATCTGGAAAGAGAGAAAAAGAATGTGAGGCTGGCTTTATAGTTTAAGGACTATCTCTTCCGTGGTTCTGGGCTGAGCCCTCAGGCAATGTAGTAATTTCTCTCAGTCATTTTCTTGAAGACAACTCTCTGAGCCTTTCGCAAACATTTGGACTGTTTTTCTACTTTCTAGTTTTACTGTTATTCAAACTGTATTAAATCTGGGCCTTGTTAAGAACTGCAAACGTTTAAAAAAGGAGAAGTCTGCACCATTCAGAATTAGATCCCCTTTTTTTAGTCTTTATAAAATGACTTGATTTTTTTAGGCTGCTACCAACTAGACCAAGAAGATGGGCTCCCTGACCTCTTTGAATTAGTTATTTTGATCAGCTGGTACTTCGTCTCTTAATCTGAAATGCAAACTTGAAAAGATGTTGGCTCTGGTTATCCTGACTGGTGCACAATGCCAGGAGTGGTGCTGTGTGAGTTGGCAGGGGGTAGTGGTGCACTCTAGGAGCAGAATACAGCCCTGCCAGGCTGTGGGGATCTGTAACACCCTGTATGCCAGTCTCTGGTATTGAGAAACTCAGTAAAGAATAGAATCATTTAAAGCTGAATTGACAGGCAGGTCTGTAAACAAAGACTCAGGGGTATCCAGGACTGCCACAATATAGATGCTGAAAATGTTGAACTCCTCCAGGAAATGTCTCTAAATTTATTTTTAGCAGGTGAACAAGTAAAATGGATTTAATGGCCTCATTTCCATTAAGTATGCTTTTTTTGTCCCTACAACCTCCTTTATATTGCTTTCTTTAAGGTGAAATATGGTATTTTAAAACAAAAGTGCACTACATACTATTTCTTACACTAGAGTAGACATAATATCTCCCAGGATAAATGAGGAGGGAGTATTTGAATATAAGAAGGATAATAAATGAGAGACTAATTTTCTCATTTTCTAGTTTGGTAGATGAATTAATCTAAAATGTCATCTAGTCATTTACTGAATAAGCCTAGAGCCTGGGCCTCAATCACCCGGCTAGGAAGCCTGTACCTGATACCCAGCACTCTTTAAGTAAATAAGTTTTTCCTATTCACTATCCTAAATTATTTCTCCTTACATTCCCAAGTATAACCATGTGTCCTTGTTTCACTACTGAGTGAATTCTTCTAATTTAGCTTTTACTGTCATTTACATTTACACCATAAGTATGACTGGGATAATACAGGTGAGTTATTTAGTTTTTAAGTCCCCTAGCCTCTCTAGTACTTCAGGATCACTGCTGCTTGATTGCTAATATGGGGCATGTTATCGATGTCTATTCACCTGTGCAAAATATTCATTTAGTATGTTAACAATATCTGTATCCCAGGGTGGTGAGGTGGCTCTGAGGGTAAGGAGCTGTGCTTGCATCTGGAAGGTTGCTGGTTTGTATCCTGTGGCTGGCAGAGGAATCCTACTGCACTGGGTCCCTGAGCAAGGCCCTTAACCCTAACTGCCCTGGGAGTGCTGTATAAATGACTGACCCTGTGCTCTGACTCTAAACTTCTCTCCCTGTTTGTGTGTCTCATGGAGAGCAAGTTGGGGTATGTGAAAAGATAAATTCCTTATTCAAGAAATTGTACTGTATATAGTATGGCCAATAAAGTGATCCTATTTTATTATCAGCCCCCTATTGTCTCTCTAATCTTTCACTCCCACTTTTACTGTTGTTTTACTGATGTAGCACTGGAGAAGGTTCTTTATATTACTTTTTATCTGTATTGCAATATTCTTGTCTCTCTAACTCATAGCAATTCTAATATATTTTTCAGCTGTGCCTACAGCTCCACTCTTTTTCTGTCTCTGTATTATGTACCCTTTTACATAGTCTGTGGAGAGCTCTCTTCTGATTTTTATCTTAATATCTCTATTTAACAATTTAGGCCATATTTTTCTGGACTTCTTAACCATCCGTCTTCTATTGACTCTGTGTCCATCTGTTCCCCATTCACTGCTTGTAGGCTCTGTCTCATTCCTTAATAATCTGTTTTTCTACAACTATAACCCCAATTTTAGACTCATATTTTTTAAACATAGTAAACATCAATAGATACCATATTACAGTTACTATTGCACAGTTGTTTAATTGATCCATTGCCTTAATTATATCCTGGTTTGAAAAGATAAAGCTAATAAGAACATTGTACTTTTTCAAAGTGTTAAGAAACAATCATTAACCAATTCAATCATCTCAGTCTCAGGTATTGAATATCTCATCAAATACCCAAACTTATGTGTGAGAAGTTAGAATTTCCTACCAATATAATGTCGCCGCTGTTACATACCATCCTGATCTTATCATGTAGTGAGCTACTGGAGCCCATATCTGTGTTTGGTAGTCTATAGTCCTTTGAAGTTTAATTCATATAGATTCTAAGATGCCCATAATCTTTTATTTCGGTTTTCTAGTTTGCAGGATAATTTTATATACAGCCTCACACCACCACCTATTCTGTCATGTCTGTCTTTCCAAACAAGTGTGTACACATTAATTTTATATCCATCCCCATCATCCTCACCTAACCATGTTTCAATTAATCCTATGATGTCACAGTTCACAGCTAGTTCAGAAGCCTGATATTCCTTCATTTAATTCCTTGCGCTTTTCTTTATTTCTTATGCTGTGTGCTGTGGTAGCAGCCATAAACCCCTGCAGCTCACAAGTGACTCACTGAAGCTCAGCAGTGTGAGCCTGGTCAGTACTTGGATGGGTGACCTGTTTAAAATTAAGGTTGGTGCTGAAACAGTTAGTGAGACCAGTGATGGGGACATTATACTGTAAAAAGGTGCTGTACTTTAGATGAGATGTAAAACTGAGGTCCTTACTCTCTGTGGTCATTAAACATTCCAGGGTGTTTATTAAAAAGAGTAGGGCTGTTACCCCAATGTCCTGGCCAAATTTTCCATTGGCCTTTACCAGTCATGGCCTCCTAATAATCCCCATCTTTGAACTGGCTTCATCAATCTTTTCTCCTCCCCACTGAGAGGTGGTGTGCGGTGAGCGCATTGGTGCACTATGGCTGCCATCCCATCATCCAGGTGGGGCTACAACCTACTGGTGGTGGAGGGGAGTCCCCATTACCTGTAAAGCACTTTGAGTGGAGTGTCCAGAAAGGTGTTATATAAATGTAAGGATTGATTATTATTATACTTATTATTGAGACAGGGCTGGGTTTGTATTTTGTGGTTTCAAAGAAATTTGTGGGCCCCTAAAAACAAAGCACATAGCAGTTAGTGGTTAGCACATAGCATGTTTTTTTACTGTACATCTTTAATATTCTATGATACCAATGAAAGGCAAGATACATAAAAATAAATTAAATTAAGTGACACATGCACACAAAATCAATGTGTAAGTGCTAATATTTTGCAACTTCATACTGCAATACATACAGTACAGTACCAAAACTAACGTATTTGAATACATGAGAGTTACTGCATGGTGGCACAGAGCTTAGCTGCAGCACCAGGGCCCTGGGTTCAATTCCTTGAGTATTATCAGTGTGTAGTTTGTATGTTTGTGTGGGATTCCTCCAGCTGCCCTGGTTTCCTCTCACAGTCCAAAGACGTAATGTACTGGGAGGTTAATTGGTTTTGATTTTAATTGGTATGAGTGTGCTTATGTCTGTGCATGTCCTGCAATGGACTGCAGTCCTGTCCAGGGTGTATTCCTGTGACCCTGAATTGAAAGAAGCTTTTAGAAAATGAATGGAATTTCAAAGCCCCAACAAAGTCCCGTACACTACATATGACCTTTTGAAAAAATAAATAAAACTAAGCCAAATCATGTTTTGTTTTGTCATTTAGTGAATAAACACACTCAAGTAGCTTCCTTCTTCCCCCTTCTTCCTTCAAGCCTTTGCTGCAGCAATTGATTCAATTAAACTGGAGAAGTTTGGCATGTCTGATTCATGCACAGTGGAGTGAAACTGATAACTCTTTCCTGACCACTGTAGTAATTAAAGCATTTTTTTCACAATTCTTTTTAAAAGAGAAAAAGTATTTTCACCACTGCAGTTTGAAACTGGGAGGGTCAGGCATTTAATGTGATGAAGACATTTGGAAACCTGGTGTGAATGTTGTGTTTGTTTATGAACCTCAGCATTTGTAGTGGGGTTGCTCTTCAAAAATGTCTTGATTGAAGTAATTGGAGTAAAACTCTAATGTGTGAGAGACATATCACCATCATTACTAAGTGCCTCAACCACGGAGGACCTCCAGTACTACCAGAAACGCTTCTATTAAAACAGCTGCTTATGACAGGCAGTTTAGTGTCATCATCCTTGCGTTGGTCATTTTCACTTTCAAGCATTGCTTAAATATTTTTTCATCATACATTCCATACCCACAAACCTCTCAAAAACAGAACAAGGAATCTGTGGCAGTTTTAACAGCAACAGCTGATTTACTTCTACCTGGACTTGAAAAAAAATACTAAGCTGTAATTTGTTATGGATGTTATAATGGTTATAAAACTCAACATTATAAAACTCCACACCTGAAGAAACTCAACGTTATAAAACTCCACACCTGAAGAAGGCTCCACGGCCGAAACATTGTGTTCTCTTTCTTCTTTTTTTCAGCATGGAATAAACCTATTACTTGTTCCTTTGCAGCCTACGCATGCTGACACAGCTACCCACCTAAACTCAACATTTGCACTTCTCAGGCTTCTGAGAGACAAAGATCAAAGGGGACCTTCTGAGGAATTACTTTTGTAAATCATTAGGAGTCTTCATCAGTTAGAAACCCAGGATAAAAGACAGGTAGGCAAAAGCAGGAAAAACAGCCCAAAAAGGGAAAAAAGAAGATGAAAGAAGAGAAGAGGGAGAAGAAAAGTTCAGACAAGAAGACCTTATTCAAATCCAGTTTTTAGCTAAGTATTTGAACTTTGTTCAACAGATCTTCCCTTTCCGTTATTTTAGGAAACTCTGATTTCCTTTATAAGGAATTCCCAGACTAAAAATGTTCTCTAAGGGTTA